ATATTAAGAGAGATTTTTAAAATTTAGTCCAATCTACAAATTTTATAAATGAAAAATAACCCAAGAGAGGAGAGTGACTTGACTAAAGTTACACGGAAAGTTAGAGACAAGATTAGGACCCAAATTTGTTTTCTATTCTTTTGTTTCCTTTAACTGTCTTAGGGTATTGATGGTGGTAGGAGTATAAAGGTTTTAAGTTTTTAAACTTCTCTCAGATTTTTATTTTCTTTTATTCACTCATTCAACTCATTCTTTTTTTTTGCTTTCACTAACTGATATATACAGTTATTGATAATCCTGTAGAGGGTAAAATTAAAGACAATTTCTTAATTTTTTATTTGTGTTTTTCTGCTTTTTCCAAGTATTCTGTTCTGAGCATATAATATGTTCGATATTAGAAAAAATAAATGCTAGTAGAAGAGGAATATATTTGTCTCTCATAAGTAAAAATAAGTACTTATCCTAGAAAATAAAAGCAAAGAAAAATGTTTGTTCACTTATAACTTTATTTATAATACAAAAACAAAGCTTAAATGTTAGGTAATAATATAAGCTAATTCAGACTTTGTAATACGAACAGTAGATGTTCTGGTTATAAATGCTACCCTTCTTTCTCCTTTGCTCCCTATCTCAGTCAATGGAGCCATCTTAAACCGAAAGCCCAAGCCGATTCATCTTTAATTTCTCCTACTTTCTCACCTCTACAACCACTAAAACCTCTTGATTCAATTTCATAACTCTTGGATACATCTGCCTCTAGCTATCTCCACTGCCACTACCTTAATCCATCATCTCCAACCCGGGTTCCTATAAATACTTCCTGATTGGTGTCCCTGCCTCCCCTATCCATTTGTCACACTGGAACAGAAATGCTCTTCTTACAAACAAAGCTAATTGTTTTCATTCTTTGAGCAACATTTACTAGGCTTTGTACAAGTATTGGATGTGAGATGTGTAAAACATAGTCCCTGATCTCTAAATGGCATGTCACTTTTTAAACCTCTTTAATACTACCCATAATTCAAGCTCATAAATTTGAAGCACAAGATTTGTGATCTGGCCCCTGGCTACTTCTCTAGACTTATCTTCAGACACACCCCACCTTACCCTGGAACTCTGTACTCTAGTACCAGTCATAATTTTGCTAGTTATAGTTTTCATATAACTCTTGTATGTGTATCATGCAGATTTAAAAATCTGTGCCCTTTTAACATATGCTCAGTTTAATTTAGTTTCTTTAAACAAATAAACAAGCAGCCAACATCTGGAGTCCAGATCTTTCTTCTGAGCTACAGATTTGTTTTTCTAGTTGCCTGATTGATATTTCTACTTGGCTGTCTCACAGGTACCTCAAACGCAACATGTTGAAATTCGTTCTTGTAACTTTCTGTTTCACAATCTTAGTAAACTATAGAACCATCAACTGAAGTGTTTAGGCAAGATACTTGAGAGTCATGTCAGGGTACAGTGGGAAGGTGGCCATCTCTAAGCCAACAAAATGGCTCTTACCGAGAACCAGATCTGCCAGCACTATGATCTTTGGCAGTTTCTTCTTCCTCACCTTTATATTATATCAATTACAAATCCCTGTTTATTTTACTTACTAAATATTTCTCAAGCCTGTTCACTTATGTCTGTTCCCAGTTCTGCTACCTTAATCTAAATAGCAACTTTCCTTAGCCTGGACTACTGTGACCTCTTAGCTAGTCCCCCACATCTGTGTTTACTCCCTTCACAGCACTCCACACATACCTGATCTAGCACTGTATATTTACTGTTGTATTAATCAGTGAGGACTGCCATAACAAAATACCACAGACTAGGTGGCTTAAACAATAGGCATTTATTGTTTAAGTTCTGGAAGCTGTAAGACTGAGATCAGGTTGTTAGGTCTGATGAGAACTCTTCCTGGCTTGCAGGCAGCCACCTTCTTGAAAACTCTGTTGTGTCTTTTATAAGACACAACACATCTACCCTCATGACCTCATGTAATCCTAATTACCTATCACATCTACCCTCATGACCTCATGTAATCCTAATTACCTATCACAGGCCCCATCTTCAAATACTATCAGATTGGGGATGAGGGCTTCAGGTGTGAACTGGGCTATGACAAAAACATTCAGTCCATATTTTCTTATTTTCTGTATTCTTGATGTTCTGGCATCTGGGGCCTCACTGATTAGTGAGAGACTGCCCCTCCCAGAGATAGCCAGTTCTTAGAAATAGCAAACAACTCACCCTGTACCGTGACTTTCTTATGCAAATGAACCAAACCAGGGCCCATACTCTTAAACCACCTCTTATACTCCAGGAGGCAGCATTCCTCTGCCCTAATCACCCCAGGACCAGCTACCAGACCACTAGAGATAGCCCCTATTTTCCAGAGCCTGCTGAAATTATTCAAGTTGACCAATGCTAGGCCTGCTTATCCTCCCTTGCTTTGCCTTTCTCTCGAAACCACAATAAAGGCTGTCACCCATTCTTTTCCTTGCTCCTTCCTCCTGACTGACCCTGGTGCTTTCCTGTATGACCCCGTGTAGCATGGCATGCCCCCTGCTCTTGGAAACTGAATAACAAACTGTCTTTTAATGGCAGCCATCTTCTGATCTGTTGGCTTCACCATACCTAAATAATTATAAAGCCCTGTATTTTAAAACACCACCACCACCACTGCTGTGGACTGAATTGTTTCAAAATTCATATGTTGAATCCCTGATCCCTCATTTGACAGTATTTGGAGATGGGGCTTTGTGGTGGTAATTAGAATTGGATGTTGTTATGAGGGTGAGGTCCTTGTGATGGAATTAGTACCTTTATAAGAAGAGACCTGAGAGCTTACTTTCTCCACCATGTCAGGGTACAGTGGGAAGGTGGCCATCTCCAAGCCAACAAAATGGCCCTTACCGAGAACCAGATCTGCCAGCACTATGATCTTGGACTTCTTAGCTTCCAAAACTGTGGGAAACAAATTCTGGTATTTAAGCTACCCAGTCTCTATGGTGTTTTGTTATAGCAGCCCAAGCTGATGAAGATAGTCATCCAGCTTAAACCATTTCAATGGCTTACTATTGCTTTTAAGATAAAATTAAGAAGCCCTTTCAGCCTAAACATTTTGCCTAGTCCATTTGCTGTTAATCTCTCCAGCCTCATTTCATACCCCTTCTCTTTATCACTGATTAGGCATCAACCACATTAGGCTTTTTTCAATTCTTTAAATGTCCCTCCTACCACAGGACCTCTGCACATGCTGTTTCCCCTACTTAGGGTTCTCATCTTCCCTTTAGCCTCTCTTCACCTTACTTATATCTGCATCTTTTTCAAGTCTTAGTTTATGTGTCAATTCTTAAAGGAAAATTTTCATGACTCCCTAAATTAGGTCCTCTATTTTATGGTCTTGGTACTCTGTACTTTTCCTTCATAGCACTTATCATAATTGTAATTAAATATTTGTTTGTACAATTAACTGTTTAATGTCTCTCTCTCATGCTAGATTGTAAAGTTCTGTGAGAGCATGGACCATCTTGTCTCTAGCACATAGCATAGTGTCAGGCACATAGTAAGTGCTTAATATTTGTTGAATCAATAAATAAAATAATGACAGCAATTATTTCAACTGCCTTGCATAGACTTTACGGATAGGCCTATGAAATAATAGAGAAAAAGTTTATTTTTTTATGCTCTACCGTCCAAATATTTGGATAGAATCCTACAAAATGGATTGTTTACATACCTCAGTACATATGAAAATGGCCAAATAGTTACACAAATATTTTCCTAACACATGAAAACTTAAGGAAGATAAAAATGCAAAAGATGTATAGTATAAAGCCAGTAAATCCTGGTTCAAAACTTTTAATAGAGAAATCTTTTATATACCGTAAAACTTATGGTAGATTTATCTACAGGATGTCATGATAACTTTGCCAGGTTTTTTGGAGCATTTAAAGGTGATTCTAGTGGAAGATTTTAGAAGCAACAGAATGTAGAGTTGTCAGTTCAAAATCTGGCCCTGTTACCATATTAGCTCTGTGATCTTGGACAAGTTACTTAAACATCTAAACCTCAGTGTTCTCATCTAAGAATGGTGATAATGGTACCTATCTTAGAATTGTTGTGAAAATTAAATGAGATAATGAATGTAAAACACTTAACCATGAGACCTTGCCCACATGCTGTTATTTACCAGAAGATATTACTTTACATAAACTCTTTTCTTCTTGGAATGCCTTTATCTACCACCCATTTCATTTCTTGCCACCTTTTGTTGACATTTTATTCTATATTTAACAACGTTTTTCATTCCCTCTACCTCACTAGACTGAATTCCTTGAAGGCAGTGACTGTGCCTTGTTTTCATTGTATGCTGAGCTTCTTACACATTGCCTGGCACCTAGTAGTTATATTATTAAAGAATTAATTAACTGCATCTCTAGTGAATAAATAAATTCTATAGGATTAGTTTAAGGATTAGAAATAACCTATCTACAACATTTAGCTTTTAGTTTAATACATAATAGCTATTATTATTATTGCTAATAAGGGTAATATTCTTTTTCAGAGACATAGATTATTTAGATTAACTTACTTCCCAACCATTAATATCTCTTGTGTGTATCAGTGGACATTTTAATCAATCTTAGGTGCTATAGAAAGGGGGAGAAATGCAAAAGAATACTGGTAGGACCCACAGATCCGCAGATGGTAGACATCATTCTTTCCTGGAAGTATGATATAGTGATACCAAGTGATCTGAGCTGCCTAGTGAGTCTACTTAGGTATATACATTAAGAACAGATAAATGGATGGGTATGCTTATTTGTTCAATAACAATTAACTAAATAGAGTAAATTAGATGATGATAAATATATAAAAGAATTAGTAAAGGACATTAGATAATGAGGTAACCATCTTAATCATGTTGATATTTTATTTTGATTTGCATAATAATTGCAGCTCTACAATATTCAAATCCTGTTATCTGTGTTTGTTTCTTATAGCTATTGGATGAACTCCCAATGATTTACAGCTGCTGTATATTTGTATACTGCATGTAAGTATTAATATTTAAAATTTAGTTGTTTGATATGGCTTGAAATTCAATTATCTGATATATTTTAAAATTCATATTTGCATCAGGGAATTAAGTAATATAATTAACTCGATTAATATTACTGGGAGATTATAATAGTGTAGAAGATTATAACTTGTGATCTCGATACCCTTTAGTCAATTTAGATAGACTCTTACTTAAATTTGACTTAAATTGCATAATTTGCCTTTCCTTGAGTTATGAATGTATAAATTGAAAAATTTCATATATTATGTCATAAAAATAGTATTTATCTACTTTGTACCTGTAATTGTTCTAGAAATACCAAGTCATCTCTAATTCTCACAGTTGTACAAGATAAATGCATATTGTCCCTATATTATAGATGATGAAGTGAAGCACAAAGAGATTTAGTAACTCTTCTAAGGATCTGTCAATGTAAGAAACATCCAAACCTGTAGAGAATTTTTATGAGTTTATTTGAGCCAAAACCGACAATTGCAGGGAAGCATAATAGTTTTTGCAGCTTCTTTTATGCATTTAGCATTAAGGTGGGAATTTAAGGAAGATTGCATGAATGTGGGAGAAAGCAAGGTGGGATTGGACTACAGGACAGGTAACAAGACTATGTGTTTTCTTGACGGTGGTTACACTTATTTCAAAAGTCTGTTAACCTAGATTCACGAAAGAGATGGACAAGGCTTGTTTAAGTCAAAGATAAACCTTTTAAACTAAAAAAGTTATATGCCTGGGGTATGACTACCCACAATAACTTGCCCTTTTAAGAATTTATGATCACATCACCCTGTGACATTACTTTCTATAGAACCCCTTTTTTGTGAACAGATATAAGCAAAGCTTATACATAGGTGAGTTGCCTAAGATCATGTAATTAGTGTCAGAGTGGGAAATTGAACTACAAGTTTAAAAACTTTACCTTCTAAGTATACCTCTTCCCTAGCACTAATACTTAAGACATCTCTGAATCCCTTATGTGATGGTTGTCTGATCTTTTCAATATGATCATCTTTGTTAGTTGAAGAATACCTCCTTCTAAAGATATGTAAAATTCAGAATAGTTAAAAAAATATATTAAAAAACAGGGTGGTTCCATAGAGTAGTGGTTGGTTTGTCTGCTTTACACGTAGAAGGTCCTGGGTTTGAGCCCCAGTGGAACCACGGTCCATACCCCTGGATGTGCGCCGCGAGCGCGTGGGAGGAGACGCCCCGCCTTCAGAGATCCAGTTGTTAAAGGGAGACAGCAACATCCCTAGGTTAGGAGTGGAAGTGGGGGGAGGAATTAACAAATATATGTATATATATTAAAAAAGAGCTTCTGAAATTTCTTCTGTAAAGAGCCAGATAGTAATTATTTTAGGTTTCTGGGCCTCTGGTCTCTGTTACAACTCGATAACTTTGCTGTGGAAACAGACATTAATATGTAAACAAATGGGTGTGAGTGTGTTCCAGTAATATTTTATTGATAAAAACAGGCTTAGGCTGAGAAATTGCCCTTGGGCTGAAATTTGCTGCCCTGATCTGGAAAAATGCTTTCAGATGAGCTCTAAATAAGTTATTCAGTTCCAGAATTTAAATATAAAAGACATCATAGAAATCACCTGGGCTACCATCTTTCTTTACAGTTAAGGAAGTAGAAGTTGGGTCCAATTCTGCAGCCAATTTATTAGTAAACTGAGAGAACTCTCCTGCTGCTTGTACCAAAACGTAGGCTCAAAGGTTGGATCTTTAACAGATGGCCAGATATTTGTTCATATTTCTTTATTCACTGAATATTTCCTGTGTGTCAGACACTATCCTAAGTCACAAGATATATGGAAACAAGATTTAATCCCTGCACACAAGGAATTCACAGTCTGGTTGGGGAGATGGATAAGTAAAGAGACGATTATAATATAGTAATATTTTCCATAATAGTGTGCCTTAGTCCAGGATCATTAGTTACAAGGTATAGAAACCTACTCAAGCTAGCTTGAATTAAGAGAGATTTATTTATTGTAAGGATGTGAGGAAATTACATGGAACCCAATAGCAGGAAGTACAGCCTCACTAGACTAGGACAGGTTCTCTCTCTCTCTTTCTTTTCTCCATTCCTTCCTCTCCACATGGTTTCAAGTCTTTGTATGTGCTTTATTTTTCTTTCTCTGAGAATGACTTCTCTGCTCAATCATCTACTTATTCATTCAGTTTAGCTGCCTAGATATCAGCATCAGAACTGGAATCCATATAGCTTTATAACTTTGACTCTCTACATTTAATTGATTCAATCTCTGGCTCCCAAACTCCAAATTTTCAAGAGAGAGGCTCTCATTGGCTCAGTTTAAGGAAGATGCCTGCTCTTGGTCCCCATAGTCTCTTGGAGGCTGTAGGCAGTACAAGTTCTCTAAGATGAGCATGTGGGTGGGAGGAAACGATGGGCATAACTAGGCCCAGTGGGTAAGTGGTAAACAGCTTTCTATTTGTTTTCATAGTTTTATATTCTAAAACAAGTTTCTTTTTCTCTCTCTCTTTTTTTTTAAGGTTTGAATGTTTCAAGATGAAGAACTCAGTAAACTACCATATGCTTTTTACCTTAGTTCTATTCAGTTTAGTAGTAACCACAGTAAGTCATATTTTGTTTTTAACATATTAAGCATTTGAACTAGCCAAGTATGACGTTTGGCACATTCTGCTTCCAATATTTGCTTCATGCTGTTCAAACTGAAATATTTCTACACTAAACTCATAGATGTTGCTCCTTTGTGTCCGGTTTATTTTTTATTTTATTTTATTTATTTTTATTTTTTTTCTTTAGGCAAGGCAACCCTTGGTTGACCTCACAGATTGCAAGGACCTTGTCAACTTACAATCTCTTATTTTTTATTTTTTACGCTTACAGCACCTGGTCTTCCTGGGTGGTCTCCCATCCGAGTACTAACCAGGTCCGACTCTGCTTCTTTGTTTCCTGTTTAGGCGTTATTTCTCAATAAAAAGTTGGAACAACTTTTTTAAACATCTGGGGTTTTTTTTAACCGGAGAAAAGTCAAAGGCAAATATTTAGTAGCAATGGAAAAAATTAATTTTTTCTCATGGGTGGACATATTACCTCCTATTTGTTTAAAAAAAAAAGAGAGATTGGCTTTGCTCTGTTATGCCTAGTATGACTATTTTAATGGTTAGCCTTTTTCTAATAAGTTGAGATAGCTGATTTCTTCTGGCCCTACCCAAGTGCTTTTTTCCTCTTATGTGAATTGCATTTTATGTTAAGAGATACTCATTTCAACAAACTTTTATTGCAAACCTACCATATCAGGCAGTAGAAAATCTGAAGATGATTAACAAGTAGTTACTGTGCTTGAGGAGTACATTTCTAGTAGGGAAGTCAAACATGTAAACAAAGACTGTGTCAAAAAATAATTGCAGTAATAAAGGTAAAGACTAGTTATATGGTGATGAGATAAAGAGGATCAATAAAGATAGCTTGAGTGGACCAAGGAAAACTCCAGAGGGAAGACACTTGAGCTGAGTTTTAACAGATGATAGGAAGTTCGACAGGCTCCTGGGCAAGAGTGTCGTGAAGCATTTCTAAATAAATTATGACATTGTCCATAGGCATAGAACCTTGTAACGGGTAATGGGCCATCATTTTTTTAAGTGCTTACTAGGTGCCAGATGCTATACTGAGTACTTTACATTTATTTTCTTATTAAATTATCACTGCCAGTGGAATGGGGAGAGATTTAATTATATCAGCACTAGCAGTAGAATTAGGAGAGATTTAATATGGCTGGAGCATATGTTAAGTGGTGAGGAGTGAGTTGAGTCTAATGACTTAGATAAATGTCAGATCATAAAGACCCTTGTACACTATTATATGTTTAGATTTTTATCTTCAAGGTAGTGCGGAGCCACTACCTTGGTTCAGTAGAGGAAAAACATAATTAGATACATGCTTTAGAAAGATTGCTTTGGTTATGGAGGATGGATTAGAGGAGTGGGAAGCTAGACCCAGGGACTTTTGCATTTGCTTAGGCAAGATATAAGACTCAGACTAAAGTAAAATAGCTGTGGGGATGAAAAGCTGTCATAAATAACAGTCCATAGGACTTGTGACCCCCTAAGTATAGGGACTAGGAATGGAGTGAAAAGAATTATATAGAATGATTCCTTAGTTTACGGCCTAGTCACATATTAGGTCCTTAACCAACTTAGGAAACTTGGAAGAAGAGAAGATTATGCAGGAAAGATGATGAGGTTTATAACATGGGAGTAGGGTTAGATTAATTCATTTTGGAATGAGTTGAAATTGAGGTGCCGGATAATATTGATACCTGAGGCCTAACAGGTAGGCTGGGCTAAAGATGTAGATTTGGGAGTTGTCATGTAAACAGATGGTACTATAAATGTGGGAATAGATGAACTGACACAGAGATAATAGCATAGACCCTTAAGATGACCAAAGATACAACCCTATAGAACACTGACTTTTTTTTTATTAGAGATAAGCAAAGCAGTATACATTTATGATACTATACCCTAAAAGTTACAGTTAATTTGTCCATTTGACAGTCAGAGCACATCAGTATGCAAACTCTTTTTATGATAAAATTAGGATACCTCATTTCATAATGCCTAAGGATTTCAATAAAAATCAACATTTTTAAATAAATATTATATACATTTAAGGTGTGCAACATAATTTGATATAAATATACATAATGAAATGATGACTACGGTCAAGCTAATTAACATATCTTCTCACATAGTTACCACTTTAGTGTGTGGTGTAATAGGAACACCTGAAATCTACTCTCAGCAAATTTCCAGTATTCAATCCAGTATTATTGGCTATAGTCATCGTGCTGTGCATTGGCACGTTGACATTTGAGAGTCAAGTAGAAGAAATGGAGCCAGCAAAGGAGACTCAGAACAAGTAATCAGAGATGTAGGAAAACTTAGGAGAGTCTGATATCTCAGAGTACAGAGAGATTTCTAGAAAAAATACCAGATTAGTTGCATCTAAGATGAGTAAAATGAAGATTAAGGTTTGACCCATAACAATACCAATTCTAAGACCAGGTGACCTTAATAAGGATACCATCAGCAGTAGATGGATGGAGGCAGAAACTAGGTTTCAGTGAGTTGAAAAGGTGAATAAGAGGTTGAAAGAACACAGACTATTTTCTTATGCTTCTACATTGCCCTTCATAGTCCTTTGTATAAACTGCATACTTGTTAATCATGGGAGAATCCTAGACTTTCAGAGGTGAAAAGAAGTCTTGTAATTGTGTAAAAGAAGAGAATAAAGTCCAGAGAGCTTTAGTGACTTGCCTGGCCAACCAAGTTTTAATGGAGAATTGAGAGTCAGTCAGATCTGAGTTTGGACCAACACTGCTTATAACTGTGAGACCTTGGGCAGGTTACTGTCTGCTTTAGTTTTCTTCATTTGTAAAATGAAGATAATAATAGCATATTTCATATTAGTTGTAAAAATTAATACCTGGCAGATAGTAAGAACTTAATAATTCTTTTGCCCTAAAAAAAGTGTCTTTAAGAGGCATGCTCTTTTGTATTGCTTTTATTAGTAACAATGAGAATCTGGAACTATAAAAAAGGAAATTAGTATTTTATATAACAAATTTCAGAGATTAAAGGTATTATTCTGTACTCAATTTAGAGTTACAGATGTAATGTCTCATACACATCTTACTATTAAAGCTCTATGAATACTTAAAGGAAATAATCTCTTGTAGTGAGGTAAGGAACTTCCTCTAGGAATAGGAAATTTTGCAGCCAAATTATAAAATTATGTAAAATTTGTGAGATAAGCACTACATTGAATAAGGATATAGAAATATCTAAGCACAGTTCTTGCTGTCAAATAGATTATTTCCTTATAGGTGAGAGAAACAAATAAACAAATACCATGAGGTTTATACATAATGAGGGTGCAGAGGAGGGTGAGTGGTTGCTTCTGCTGAATGGAGAAAGACTCAGAAAAGGCTTTAAGAACGAGATATAGTTTCAGCTGAATCTTGAAAGATAGGTGTTTGCCAGCAAGTAAGGATTTCTGAGCAAGGTAAAGAGTAGCCTTTTTAAAGATACAGAAGCATGGAGCTAGAACATTTGGGGAAGTATTGTACTTTCTGGATCATAGGATGAAAAAGAGACAAGAGGAGAGCAGTGAGACCAAACAGATCATGGAAGGCTTTGAAATTTGGACTTTGTCTTGTAAGCAGTGGGCATCATTTCAAGGTTATTATTTGAATTTTGACTCCTCTCTACCATGTCGTTTTTAAGGTCTACTCCTATAGGGCAATAAATGCATGCTAAAACTTGAACTTAATCACCCACATGACACTGGAACCTAAAACTAGGGTTTCTGTAACTGGGAATGCATCCAGGTGAGAGAGTTTTAGGTTTTTTGAAGCAGGAGAAAGCATAAGAAATTTGTTTTAAATCTTTTCACTTATTGAGCACTTAGGATATGCTAGACACTTTCACGTATTTTAGGTTAATATTCCTCACCACTATTCTCATTATCTAGATAAGGAAAAATTTGTCTTTTGGTTAAGTAAATGCCACTTACTTGCTCAAGGATTGTGGCAAGTAAGTAGCAGAGTCTGAAATTTAACTACTGTCTCTAACTCTAAGTTCAGTGTTTTTTCTACTGTAGAACAGATCTGCTATAGGGATTGTCAGCATAACCTCTTCACCCTCAGGATTATCTGTGCATCTTTGCCCCTCCTTGATGCTGATGCAGAGGCCAAGAGGCCAGAATCATCCACAGCAGCTTCAAAACATGTAGTTTACCATGGTAAAGATAACACTGGGGAGATTCACCTGTAGGTACTAGCCCTCCTGTGGCATGCCACCTAATCTGATTGGTTTTTCATGGGTGGAGTCAGATCTAGGTAGCAGGACTAGAGCAGGAGAGATGTGGGATTTGCAGAACTGTTGGAATAGATTTTCTTTCCCCTCCATAATACACTTTATTCACATGTGTTTTAATATTTTACAGGTTTACCTTAAGGTAAAGGAACCTGTATTCCATCAGGTAATTCTTAAAAATTATTACACATTTGATTGTTTAACAATACTTGCCTGCCTTGTGTTTTCCTTTTTTTGGCAAATTACATGCAGATACAACTTCTGAAAATGAAATGGTAGATGTCCTAAGAAGACTCTGTTTAAAACAGAGGTTGCAAACTTAAGTGCCTACAGGAGCCAGGTGGAGGTAACAGGAATATACCTGGAACAGCCAATGCCCAGGACCAGCTGACTATTGGTAGTCAGAATGCAGTGCAGCATAGTTCTTATAAGCAAAAAAAAAACCAAAAACAAAACAAAACAAAACAAAAAAACAGGAAGCGTTATGCACATACACATATAAAGTCTTTTTTATGATATGATTTTCTTGAAAAGATAGACTGAAAATTCCTTGAATATTTTCCTCCTAATATATATTTTAATAAAATTGTTGAGGTGGGAGGTTATTTAGATTGAGAAACGCAAACACAGGAAACTTTGCTCTAGGAAATAATGATGTAAGTGCATCCCATAATGAAACCAGAGTGAAATAAAGTAGCAGACCTTAAAGAAAGAAAGCTATTGGTTATTGAGTGCCACCACGTGCCTAGCACTATGCTCATTACTACACAGATTCTAATCTACCCAGCAGCCCTACAAATTAGGGATTACTGTCCACTTTTTAAGGTAAATGAGTTTAGAGATATTAAGTAATTTGCCCAGCTTCACACAGTTATTAAGGAGCAGAGCCAGGATTGTAGCCTAGATTTTTTTGACTCCTGTCAGCATTCTTTTAACAAACTAGCAAATAAATATAAAGAAATGAATCAGCACATATTTCAGGAGTATCAGAGGCCTCGTAGTTGTAGACTATATTGTGCTTATATAAAAAATAAAGTTCTTACACCTTTTGAAACCGAAGCTAGACAATAATCATCTAACTGAAATCTGGTTTTTCAAACAAATTCAAAACCATATTATTGTGCCTGCTTTTCTACAGGCTAGATGAAGGTAGACATAGTAAGGTGGATGATACAGGAGAAGACACCCTCACTTTCCTGTTTATTATAGCTTGGAGTGATATCATTATGTAATTACCCTCTTTATTTAGAAGATTTATTGACACAATATAAAAAATGAAGAAGTTTATTTATAAGAAGAATACTTCAGTTTCTATAATTTTTTTTTTGCCTTTTAATAAAAATTCTAACCACAAAAAAAAACAAAATTGGGTAATTTGAGGTTAAGTTTTGTAAACTTATAACCATCAATTTTCCATTTTGTGTTTTAGACCTATTTGACACTAGTTATGTAATAAAAGTAACAAGCTATTGATATAATTTCCCATGGTGGAATTTCCATGTGTTTTTTTCAGTAATAAATATTTTCTTATCTGTGTATAATGATAAGGTTTGCTAATAGGAAGGAGGCAGGATAAAAGCTTATAGCTATGGCTTATATCCTAGGTTTAGAGATTAAAAATCAGGATAGAGAAGTGAAGAAGTGGGGAATGCTTGAGTTGAAGCAGATAAGTAACCTGAAGATAAAAGATATTCATTCATTCAACAGATGTCCATTGTATACCTTCTCAGCACCAAATTCTGAGCTGGAAGTTGGAAGTAGAGAGGCGTTAGACCAACACTTTAAAATCTAAAGTCAGGCAGACCTGGATTTCGTCTAATCTCTCCACTTACTAACTTTTATACCCTTGACAAGTTACTTCTTTGAGCTTCTTAAGTGCCAGGTGCTATATTTGGCACAGGAGATATACTAATGAATGAAATAATGAGGTCCCTGCTCTTAAGGAGCTTATTATACTGTATCTCTAAAATTGTTATAATACTCTCCTAAAGTTGAGGATTAAATAAAATAACACATGTAAAAAACCCTTAGCACATAGTAAACACTCAGTAAAGATTAACTGATATTAATATACCAAGGCAAATAAGATATGGCTGCTGGTTTTAAGGTGCTCACTGTCTAGGTAGGAAGATAGACCTGTTGAAACATATTTGCAGTATATATGTCCTTTAATAAATACATAAAAGTAGTGCTAATGTAGATAAGGGCACAATCTGCTAAGATGACTCGAGAGGATTACATAATACATCTGTTGCATATAGCTAAATTATTACTTGCTCTAGTATTAAAACAAAAGTCAGGGGAAATGGCCCACTGTTGTCATACAGTAGCATTTCTCACTACTTTGTAAAACTTTATTTGAAGAGGCCTTCGCCTCAACTGTCTAATCTAGAACATCCTATGCTGATCTGTTAAGTAATTAAAATTGATACTTTCTATTTATACTTATGGCTTAAAAAATCTATTTCTAATTATTTTCTGAGTATCTTAAGAGAACTGCTTTTTTCTGAGAATATTTGTCAAATTTTGTAGTTATTGCTTTCATTCTTTCATATAAACTGTTGATATTCTTATGTACAGAAACTTAGAAAAATTCCTTTGGAATTTGTAAGTGGAAAATTGTTTTGGAATTTGTGATAAGATTTACAATAACTTTCAGGATCTTAAAAATAATGGAAAAGGAGGGAAAAGCAACATTGTCTAATTTAAAGGAGCTTTGGCTAGAGAATTTAGAATCTTGACTTCTTACTACTTTGATTACTTACATTTGGAATCTTTATTTCTTGCCACTTTATTATCCATGGACAAATTTCTTGCTGTGCCTCTCCTTCACTTTCCTCATCTGTAAAATCTTCAAATAAATATAGTTCATTAGGATAATATTAAAATAATATAATAAAGGCACAAGGCAATAAACATTATACAGTGTGATACTAAAAGTACATATTAAGGGGGTGGCTCCATAGTGGAGTGGTTAGCACGTCTGCTTTACATTCAGAATGTCCTGGGTTCACACCCCAGGTGGAGACATGGACCATACCCTGGGTGCGCCAGGCCCTGGTTGCACCCCCCCACCCTGCACCAGGTGTGCCAAGTGCCCCCCCAAGTGTGCCAGCCCCCCAAGTGCGCCCGAGGTACCAGGCCCCCGGGGACGCCAGGCCCCAGGTGCATGCCGCAAGCATTTGGGAGGGGACGCCCCACCTTTAGAGATCCAGTTCTTAAGGGGAGACGGCAACATCAATAGGTCAGGGATGGATGTGGGGTGGTCTGTGGGGGGGGGATTAAAGAGAAGAAAAAATAAAAAATTAAAAAAAATTTAAAGTACATATTAAGATGTAAGATGACGTGTATAAATATCTGTCTATGATAATCATGGAAAGCTTCTGAAAAGAAATATTTGATTTGGGCCTAGAGAGGTAAGTAATGACATACAGTTAGAAGGAAAGAGTTAATAAACACTTTTAAAAAACATTTGACGCAACCAGCATGATTATCTTACTAACCAAATTTGCTTCCCAGAGGGAGAAAATACTGATAACAAGGTGTTCCGAGCATCTCCAGAAGAGAGCCAAATGCAATTATTTAATTTGATGGCCTTGCAAAGGGTAATACTCAAATCACACAGTGGCCACATTCATTAGAAACACCAGTATATCTTAAGCAAGGAAACAAAAAAAGCATGTATGAGGATAAATTAAAAGAACATTTAAGAAGTTAGTGAACGCTCTTTAAGCAGCTAATTGACAAATCAGTACTTGACTATCTCAAATGAGATCTCATCTAATGTCTCAAAGAGTACTATTGCTTAAGTCTTTCTGCCAAAGTAGGTTCTCCTAAAGATTGTTTCTAGATATGACATATCATTGTTTTATTACTCTCCCTTCTAATTTGACCCTCAAGGTTTGCAAGAAAGGACACGTTATGTAAACAGTTTGAAAAATTGTTTATTTAAATTTTATTGTTTCATTTGTGCCATTTTGTTACAAATTAGGGACCTAAGGCAACTACTATGTAAGCACACTTGGAAAAGAAGCAAAAGAAACTGACATTTTGAGTATCTGTTACATGCTAATTACTGTGTATTCTTTCATATAGTTTATAACGATTGACTTACCTATTATCTTCCTAAAATATCAACAACCCTGCCTTTGTATTATCTTTATTTTGTAGGTGAGATAACAGAGTCAGAAAGGTTAAATATTTTGCCCAATGTTTCTCTCCTAGTTAGTGGCAAAGCTGGAAATTGAACCTTCAAGGTCTTTTTTATTTCAAAGTTCATATGTCTTCCGTGATACAATGATGCACTTCATAGCAGATTACTATGGAATCTAATTTATTATCAGAAAAATATGTTTTTAGAAAGAATGAAAAATGCTGTTTAGATTTTAGTACAATGATGAACTTACAGAAAAAATGGTGAAGACTTAATATGTAAGACTTAGGTATAGCTATGCTTTACTTTAGGTAAACCAGAATTCCGTTGTCAACTTTAAAAACTGCCTGAAGTCAAATATAAGTAAAATATTTTGGAACTAAAAAGAGATTAAGTAATGTCTATAGAAGGATTTCAGGAAGGCTTCACACAGGAGATAACATTTGAACAGGATTTATTTGACCGTAGAACTCTTTTTTATAGAATATTTCTTAACATCTCTCAGCACAATAATATTCTGGGGGATACTATTTGGGAAATCCTGTACTAAAATGCAAGATCCTCTAGAACATAAGAAGAGAAAGGAAGATGAACCAGTTAGTGAAGCACTCACTGGATATCATGCTAAAGTTTGGATCTTATGCTTTTGCCATTGACAGAGGTGTGACATGATAAGATCTATTGCAGATAATTCTGACAGTTTTATGTAGAATGAATTAGAAGGCTGTATAGTTGGGGCAGAATTATAATCTTAAACCAACTCTGAATATCTACAAAAACTATATTTTTACCCATAGACTACATTGCCTTATGAGACTTGTATAATTGTTTTATAGTTGTAAAGTAATATCTACATTTGTCTTATTAGTATTTAAACTATCATATAATTATGTAGAAGCACCAACCTTATATTAGAGTAACTTATATTAACTCCTCAGATAAAATGCCTCTTACACCCCTATTTTGACTATAATTATAGGAATATGAAACCACTATCACCTAGTTCAGTCGCTTCATTTTACAAATGGGAATCCAAGGCCAAGAAAAGGAAGTGACTTGTTCAAGGTTATATAGTGAGGCAGTAATTAGATGGCAGAAAAATCTAGCTCCTCCAACTGCAGCTCTTGGCTTTTTCTGTTAGAGGTTCCTTTCTATGTTTGGATAATTGTTTGTTATTAATATAATGAGTGAATATTTTACAAAATCCAAATGCCTAAATCTCATCACCTATCACCACCACATATTCCTACTCACTGGAGTTTTATATAAAAGTCCTTACCTATCTCCCACTCTGATTAACTGTTCTTGGCCACAGGTGAGCTAAGTGCCTAAGTATTCTAGCAGATTAGTATAGAGTTCTTTATTGTTTAAATACAGCAGATTCTAAAATAATGTCATTTCATTCAACATCATTCCTTATGCTTAGATGATATGCTGTAGGAACTTTTCTCTTGCTTTTATCAATTAGCCTGTTGTAAAATTGGTTTCATTATAATGTCATTTTGCCTGTTTCAAGAATCTATGAACTTTAAGTGAGGACTTACTGTATTTTTATTTTTAAATAATATCAAACTTACAGAAAAGTTGCCAGAACAGTACAGAGAACATTTTCCCCCTGAACCACTTGAAGGTATATTATCAACATGTTGGAGCATGTTGGAACATGATCATTTAAGATAGTGTCTACCATAATTCTCCAGTGTAAAGTTACTCTTTGTGCCTTCATAATTAATAAGAAATTTGTAGAAAAGTACCCTGAGACTTATGAAAATTCTTTCAATTATTAAATTTTCAATTTATTTTTAATCCCTATGGACTCATGTATTCTTATTTTATCCAAGTCATGATTTGTTACTATCATTTATGGCTACACAGATTGCCTCATATTTGGCCAGTGGAGCCTTTTCAAGTTGGTTTCTGTGTCCTTTTGACATGTTCCCATTATTTTTTGAGTATTCCTTACATTTTAGTATAAGATGTTCTGGGGTCATCTTTTTCTTTCCCTGCCTCAGGCCTGAAATCAGCCAAATCTCCATGGAGCCCTGGCTTCTTTTATTAGAAAATGGAATTGAGAAACCAGATCCAAGTGCTAGATTTGATTACCCATGTGTCTCCTCTGTTAGACTCACTGAGCTCACTGAAGTCAGGAATAGCGTGCCTTTTCATCTTTGAGTGATGAATGCCTAGTCCAATGATTATCACTGTCAATGTTCAGTAAGCACTTGGTAGAAAATAAACTGGTTGGTTATTTGGAACTTTTCTCCATTATTGGCTTATTCCAAGAACTAGACCATAAGGAATGAATCCTAGAGAATGTTAATTCTGAGGAAATACTGAAAGTCAGTCTCTCTTAGCATCATCAAAATAATTTTTGTATATGTACCCTTTCCAAAGTCCCACACTACAGCCCTGTCCCATTTAACTTGCCCTCTTTTACCTCTCAGTTTCACCCATCTTCAAATGTTTCCACATAGGCATCTTAATGCAGCTCACAGAACAAAACATTTGTCTTTTTCTGCTTTTCTCATACACTTTCATTTTCTTTTTACTGATGAAAACACAGCTTGCTTTTTTCCTAAGCTATAGTTTTGTTGAGAATAAATACCAAGTCTCAGTTTATACACAGCATATTTCTAGGATACTTTAGCTGATAGAAAACACTAATAATATTTTCATAGTCTTTGGAGCTTGAAGGCTGATAAGTTACTAAATATGGAAAGACAAAAATTTATCGTAAAAATATTTTCAGATGAAAATTATAAGGAGCAGAAAAGTATTCTAGTATCTTTATTTAAAACATAACTGATATTATAGTATGCATAAAGTTACAAAGGTCATGTGGCCACTTCTAGCTGCAAGAGAGCCTGGGAAATCAGCCTTTTATAGCTGGACATAATAAAGAGAAGTAAATTAATTTGAAAAAGCCCCATGGTACTGCCAGGGTATGCATCCTTCCTTATCCATTCAGTATGTTTAATATACTCCCTGAACAGTCCATTCCCCTTGACTTTTGTATGCTGATGATTCATAAACCTGTTTCTTTGGCTCAGATTTTCCTCCTAAGGTTTAAACTCAGATATTCCTCCAAGGGGGAGGGGCAAGGGTTGGACTGGAAAGAGAAACACTTTTGGGTGTTAGGAGGGATCCATTTCTTAACCTGAGTGGTACTTTCCCAGCTGTTGGCTTTATATTCGTTAAGATAGACAATTATATTCTCTGCAATTTTTTCGTATTTACTATTTCATAATTTTAAAAGTTCAATTTCCCCACTAGGTTCAGTTTTCCAGGTAGTAGTACCTATCCATTGCTCCATACAGAAGATAAAGATAGTTGATAGAGCCAAGTCTAGGAAGATGTAGGAGTATATAGAATAAAGAACCCAAATTACATTTACCTCAGTCAAAAAGAAGTGGGCACCTCTTTGGAGACAGAAATGGGAGAAAGAATCCAGAGAGAGGATGCATATATGGATGCAGAAACATTTAGGAGGAACGATTAAAAGAGTTCATATTTATATTGTTATAAAATAAGAAATAGAATCATTTGCTGAAAGTGAAGCTAAAGAGAAGGGAAGGATCTAAGGAATGTGAGGCAAAATTATAGCGTTTGTTCGGGTTTCAGCAGATATTTAAAATTGTGTTTAAACATTCAGAATTACAGTTGACACAGGACTTCTGATATTATTTACAAGCAGGCTCTTAATTTTTCCTCAAAGGTTAGTATGACTCTCGATTATGTAATTACATATTTTTAAAAATTCTGTTCTTTAAAATGTAATTAAAGGTAATAATATTTACATTTAATTGGGAGGGCTATTTTTGTATGCAAAATATACTTCCTTTGCTAAAGAATAATGATTTTACTAACTTCATTTTTCCTTTCTCATTCAGGTCATGTATGGAATGTTGGTCTTTACATTAGTACTTCGATCTATTTATATTGTTACATGGTAAGTAGTTTGGATCAGCAACACTATGATTAGAGTACATTCAAGTGGTAAATATATAACCTAGATTGAAATAACACATAAAACCCAACTCCAGCAGGGATATTGATTGAAAACTATAACCCAACATTTATTCTGCTATATTACAAGGAATACTAGTTCTTTAAGCAAGTTGTTAATAGGCATGTGAAAATAAAAGTTCCAAAATTAAAGAAATTTGAGGAAAGATATATATGATAGCTTTCTTTTGAGGTCTTTAAAAATTCTACTGCAAAAAAAAAATGTTTTTATGTTTCTCAAACTACTTGACTAAGGAACTCTTCCAGGAAGGCTATTCATGTCACAAAGCCTCAGTGTTCCAGAAATATCAGTTAGGGAATAGGTATAAACTCTTTATAGAGTTTATGAAGATTAAATAAGAAATATTCATGTAAGTACCTTACATAGGGCCTGGTGATACAGTAGGTGCTGTGGTCAGACCATAATGAATAAAACTGCTATGAACATTTGTTTACATGTTTTTGTGTGAATATAAGTTTTCATTTCTCTGGAATAAATACCCAGAGTGGAATTGCTAGGTTCTGTGATAGTTGTATTTGGTTTTTCTCAAAACTGCCAAATTGTTTTCCAGAGTGAGTCTACCATTTTACATTCCCACCAGTATGAGTGACCCGGTTTCTCAGCATTCTTGTCAACATTTGGTGTTTTAGCCATTCTTATGTATATATACTGATATCTAATTGTAGTTTCAATTCTCATTTCCCTAGTGTCTAATTATGTTGAATGTATTTTCATGTGCTTATTTGCCATCTGTATATCCTCTTTGGTGAAATGTCTGTTCATGTCTTTACCTATTTTCTAATGGAATTATTTCTTCTTTTCCAGTTACGTTTTGATCATTCTTTATATATTCTAGAGATCAGTCCTTCATCAAACATGTGGCTCACGAATATCTATCTTCTCTCAGTCTGTACCTTGTCTTTTCATCCTCTTCACAGGGTCTTTTACAGAGTAAAAGTTTTAAATTTTGATGAAGTCCAATTTATCAGTTTTCCTTTTATGATCATGCTTTTGGTGTCAAGTCTAAGAGCTCTATCCCAAACCCTATATTTTTCTATGTTTTTTTACTAAAAGTTTTGTATAGTTTTACATTTAAGTAATGATATATTTTGAGATAGTTTTCATATAAGGTGTGAGGCTTGGGTTGAGGTTCGTTTTTTACCTATGGATGTCCAGCTGCTCCAGGATTATTGATTAAAAAGGCTATCCTTCTCCATTGAATTGCTTTTATACTTTTCTCAAAAATTATGTGGGTATGTTTGTAAAAATCTGTTCCTGGGTTTTTTATTCTGTTGTTTTGATCTGTGTGTCTTATCTCTCTATCAATGCTATACCCTCTTGATTACTGTAGCTGTAAAATAACTTCAAATCATATAAACTGATTTTTCTCACTTTGTCAAAATTGTTCTGCTTGGGTTCCTTTGCCTTTCTATATACATTTTAAAATAATATTGTCTAAAATCTTGTTGAGATTTTGATAGGAATTGCATTAAACCAGCATATCAATTTGCAAAGAATTGACATCTTTACTATGTTGAGTCTTCCAATCTATTAACATAGTGTGTCTCTCCATTTATTTAGATCGTCTTTGATTTCTTTCTTCAGCATTTTGGAGTTTTCATTTTTTGAGCAAGAGTAAACGGTATTATATTTTAAAATTTTTGTGTCCACGTGTTCATTGCTATTATATTGAAATACAATTGATTTTAGTTGTTTATCTCGTATTCTGCCACCTTGTTGAAAACAGTTCTGGGAGACTTTTGAAGATTCCTTGAGGTTTGCTGCAAATAGGGACATTTTATATCATCTTTTCTAATGTATGTGCTTTTGATTTTATTTTTTGCCTTATTGCCCTGACTAGAACTTCCAGGATTATGTTGAATAAGAGTGGTGAGAGCAGATATCCTTACCTTGTTCCCAATCTTAGGAGAGAAGTATTTAGTCTTTCACCGTTAAGTACAATGTTAGCTATGTGGTTTTTATAGATGCTCTTTATTAAGCTGAGGAAGTTGCTCTCTATTCCTAATTTTCTGAGAATCTTTTTCATGAATAGGTGTTGAATTTTGTCAGATTCTTTTTCCATATCACTTGATTTGCTCATATGACTTTTTTCCTATAGTCTATTATTATGGTGTATTACATTGATTGATTTTCAAATATCGAACCAGCTTTGTATTCTGAAAGAATTCTACTTAGTCATGGTGTAAAATTCTTTTTATATATGCTAAATGATACTTGTTAATATTTTGTTAAGGATCATTTCATCTATATTCATAAAAGTTTTATTTTCTTGTACTGTGTTTGTCTAGTTTGGTATGAGGGTAATAATAGCTATATAAAATGAATTGAGAAATGTTTCTTCCCCTTCTATATTCTAGAAGAAATTGTGTAGAATTGGTGTTAATTCTTTTTTAAATATAGAATTCTCCAGCAAAACCATCTGGGCCTATAATTTTGGGGGAAGGGAACAATTTTAAACTATGAATTTAATTTCCTTAATAGTTACAAAGCTATTCACATTTATCAATTTATTGAGTGAGTTGTGATAGTTTGTATTTTTCAAGGCATTGGTTCATTTCACTTAAGTTGTCAAAATTTGTGTACATAGAGTTGTTTATAATATTCCCTTGTTTTCCTTTTGATGTCTGCAGGGTTTATAGCAATATCCTGTTTTATTCCTGATATTGGTAATATGTGAGTCTCTTTCCTCTCTGTCCCGCTTGTTAGAAATGTGTCAATTTGCTCTTCTTTTTTAAGGTTCTTTTTCAAGGATCTTAGATTATTGATTTGAGAATTTTCCTCTTTTCTAGTAAGCATTTCATGCAGTAAATTTCCCTCTCAGCACTACTTTAGTTGTGTTCCACAAATTTTGATGTTTTGTATTTTTATTTTCATTCAATTCAGTGTATGTTTTTTAGTTTACTTTGAGGCTTCCTCTTTGACCCATAGATTGTTTAGAAGTATGTTTTATTTACATTCAGGTATTTGGATATTTTTCTGTTACCATTTTTATTGACTTCTAGTTTGATTCTGTTGTGGTCACAGAACACATTCTCTATGATTTAATTTCTTTCAAATTAGTCGAGGCTTGTTTTATGAGCCAGGATATGGTCTATCTTGACATATGTTCCATGTGTTCTTGAAAAGAATGTGTATTCTGCTGATGTTTGGTGAAATGTTCTGTTAACATCTATTAGATTATGTTGTTTTATGGTTGTGTCAGTGGCCCCAAGACTATCCTCAGGTTCAATAATTTGCTAGAAGGACTCACAAAACTCAGAAAAACTTTTATACTCATGATTACATTTCAAACTGATATAGTATGGCCCAGGGCCCCAGGCAAACAAAAACAGACATTTACCATTAATCACTTTATTAGCATATGGTGTGGCCCAAGGTGTCAGTTATACAGAGACACTCTTATAACACAGGATATTCCAAGAACTCAGAGGTTATCGCCTAGGAACCAGACAAGGGCCAATCCTTTCTTTGGAATGTGCAATCTTTGCACAACCCAAGCTCACCGAATTAACCATTTACTTCACAATGGTGGTGTTGAGTTCTTTTCTATCTTTATTAATTTTCTGTCTAGTTGTTCTGTCAGTTGTTGGGAGGAAAATGTTGAAATCTTCAAATAAAATTGTGAACTTGTCTATTCCTCCTTCATTCTATTAGTTTTTGTTTCATCTTGTCATTCACCCCATTTTGCAGTTCTGTTGTTTGGTGCATAGACATTTAAAATTGTTATGTCTTATAGTGGATTGATCCTTTGTCATAATGTAATGCTCTTCTCTTCTCTTTCTGTCTCTGGTCATTTTCTTTGGCCTGAACTCTATTTTATCTCGTGTTAACGTAGCCATATTAATAAAACTTTCTTTTTATTAATGTTTACATGATATATCTTTTTTGCTCTTTTACTTTCAAACTGCCTATATTAGATATGAAGTGAGTTTCCTTTGGACATCATATAGTTGGGTCATGATTTTTAATTCACTCTTCCAATCTCTTTTAATTGGTGTATTTAGTTCATTTATGTTAACATAATTAGTATATTAAAGATTGTCTGCCGATTTTTTGTTTTCTGTTCTATATTGTTTCTTTGTTTTCTTTTTTCTGTCTTTCTGTGTTATCTATAACTGCCTTTTCAACCTATAACTGCCTTTTCTCTGCCCCATTGAACTTGAACCATTTTAATGTATCTGTAGAGTTTCTGAATGTTTTTCTTTGTATAGCTTTTTTAGTGATTATTCTTGGTATCATATATACAGAACATCACAGTCTAATCGTGTCAACATTTTACTAGTCCCAGCGAAGTACAGAAACCTTACTTCCCCTTTACATACCTATATTAGTTTCCTTGGGTTGCTATAACAAAGTAACACAAGTTGGGTGGCTTAAAACAACTGAAATTTATTGTTTTACAGTTCTGAAGACAAGACGTCAGAAATCACGGTGTCAGTAGGGCCATGGTTCCTCTGAAACCTGTAAGGGAATTCATCTTTACGTCTTTCTAGCTTCTGATGATTTGCTGGCAATCTGGCATTCTTTGACTGATACCTGCGTAATTCCAGTCTCTGCCTTTGTCATGACCTGGTATTCTCCCTTTGTCTCTGTGTGTTCACATGGCTGTCTTTATATAAGAACATAAGTCATGTTGGATAAGGAGCCTGCCCTACTCCAGAGTGACTTCATCTTAACTAATTATATTTGCTATGATTCTATTTACAAATAAGGTCACATTCTGAGGTACTAGAGATTAGGGCTTCAACATATCTTTTTGAGGGGAAAAGTTCAACCTATAACTGCCTTTTCTCTGCCCCATTGAAAATACAGTTATCCTAAATATTTTCTCTATATACATTTATAACCACATCGGACAGTATTATGATTTTTGCCCCAACCATAACATAATTTAGAAACTCAACAGGAGAAGGAAAATGTAT